CCACATACAGCAACTAGAAGGATGTGCAGCTATGACATACAACTATCTACTGGGGCTTTGGGGAAAAAAAAAAGGAAGGAGGAGGATTGGCAGTGGATGTTAGCTCAGGGCCGGTCTTCCTCAGCAAAAAGAGGAGGATTAGCATGGATGTTAGCTCAGGGATGAGCTTCCTCACACACAAAAAAATAAATAAATAAAATAGTCTATTCCCTAAGCTGCCTGAAATGTGGTTATATTACCTTTATAATAAAAATGTGTATCTAAGGAAGATACAATTTAGGCTATATCTATATCCAGATACATATTTTACAATGCAGTCCACTCTAGATAATTGAACGATGTCTAGGCTGGGATTTCTCAAAGTGGGTTTTATGGAACACTATCTCCATGAGTGTTAATAGCTGTTATGTAAAAAATGACAATTACAGTAACCACAAAACACAATGGAAGTTTGGAAACAGCAGCTTAAACAAACTGAAACACATTTCTACTACAGAGTTTCACATAGCCTTCATTTAACACGCTCAAGGACATCATGATTCTTCAAAGATCTCCAGTGCAGCATTTCCCATGCTTATTGAACCAGGGAATTTTTATTTTTATTTTTTCAGAGTGTCTCATAGGATTAGCATTCTTCAAAACTTTGGGAAATCTGCTCTAGGCACAAATGAGTCACAAAAGCAAGTCTATTTGTCACGGATAAGAGAAAGGCCTTGACGCAGCAAGCATTCAAGGTAGAGCCAAGTGTCAAGAATGATGATGCAAGGAGCCTGGTAGGCCCACTGGCAGAAATGTGTGAGAACTGTATGGTAGGAGCGGTGCTATTCAAAGACCCAGAGACTAGCAACGTCAGAAGGTGGAGCGCCAAGGTCCGTTAGATGCTCAAATACTTCCACCAGTGCATGAAGTATGGGAGAGGTGGCCAAATGAACAGCCAAGAGCTGACATCCTTATTCTTTGTTTTTCTGCGGCAGAAAAACAGGACCCCAGCCCTTGAATAAAAGCAGTTTAGATATAGGTCAGGGGTTAGAGGGAGGGGTCAGATGAGGAGACTGGCTCAGATGGGTCTAGACAGGAGCCATGTCTTACTCTGCTCTGTTGCCCCAGCACCTAGCACAGTGCCTGTCATCTGGTGTGAATCGTGTGAATCTAGCAGGTTGGAATTCAGGAGACCAAGGTTGGAACACTGGACTTCTGGTGGGGTGTAGCTACAGGGCCTCTGTGAGAGCCTTAGCACTAGCCTGAGGCAGATGGAGGGCTTAAGAAATCCCGCTCTGAGTCAATCCATCCTTGCTAAGGGTGAGTTCCTAGCGTGGAAATGACCCAGGCCTTCTAAATGAGGGGTTGGGTCTGTGCACACTGGCGCTCTAGGCATTCATTCACTTGGTGTCGTGTGAACTCAGATCACTAGGTCCAGACCCACAACCTGCCAGGCCACTAAGAGGCCTGCAGATATGATTGTCAGTACTCCCCAGAAATCATGGGGGTTGGAAGTGATCTTAAAAAACTGGAAATGGGATTACGTTGTCCCATTTTTCTAAAATGAGGAGGAGGTAAGTTGTAGAAATTATACGGTAGGAAGTGTCAAGGTGATACCTGACAAAATTTCAGCATGGATTATTAATTAGTTGGTTGTGAGAACACAGAAAAAGGGGCAGTTAGCAAGAGTTAGCATGAGTTTACTAAGAACAAATCTCCCACACAGTAACCTCATTAGACTTTTTGGATAAGGTAACTCACTTTGTGGGAAACAACAGATAAGCAGTGTTTCTAAACTTCCATGATGACAAGAATTATTTTTAAATAAACAGATTACCAAGCCTTCCTTGTGGAAATTCTGATTTAGTTGGGTAGCTCTGGGACCTAAGAATCTATGTTTTTAAAAGTGCCCCAGTGATTCCCATCAATGTATTCTGACTTCTGTATTGCCTTTGAAAAGGTCTTTCCTGAAGGCCTGAATATGAATCCTAGCTCTGCCACTATGAGCTGGGTGGCTTTGAGAAAGTTACATAAATGGCCAGCCCTCAGTTTTCTATTCTATAAATAAAGACGTTGAAGCAGAATGGAGAAATGCAGCCTGTGAGAGAGGAGAGCACCAGGCAGGGGTGCTCATACCTAAACTCCAGGGGGCTCTGTACGAAGGGCCACAGGGCTCTCCACTTGGCCGTCTGGCTCAAGGTCAACTTGGGATGAAGGCACAATTTGAAAAAATGCTAATAAATACACTGGATGACAGATGTTGAAATTCACAAAGAACTTGGTATGCTGCAATAACATAGCAAAACCAAGAAGAGCAAACACAAGAGATAAATGCGAGGCTCCTGCACACGAAAGGTTAAAACTAACTGTAAACCTGGAACAATGAAGAGACTAGACATAAGAACAGCCCATGTGAAAATAACTGAACTCTTTTCATTTTCCACAAACTCAACATGAGCCTGGTGTGTGCTACAGAATTTTAAAAGTGAGACTAGTCCTAGGCTGCATTAACTGAGGTATAAAGTTCAAATTAACAGAGGTGATGGTTTCACTGTCCTCGTGCTGTGAGACCCTGTCTGGAGCATTGGCTTCGTTCTGGAAATCATGTTTTAAGATTGACAAATTCAAGAATATCCACAAATTTAAGAATATCCAAAATATTCTTAATGGAAAGTGAAGAGTCTTAGCAGCCATGTCCTGTGAGGAACAGTTGACACAACAAGAATGTTTAGCTTGGAGAAGAGAAAAGCTGGTGGGGAGACACATGTTCGCTTTCTAGATATACAGTTAGTCTGTGCAGAGGGAAGAAGCAGTGCCAAAGAGTAGGAGGACCAGGAAGGAAGATTTGGGCTCAACAGAAAGCAGACTTCTGTAACAACACGATCTATTCGTCAGTGGAATGGAGGCTGTATAAGTAACTGCAAATGACTGTGCCAAGAATGGGAAAGGCAACAGCTACGAGAACATTCAAACACATTTTGAAGGCCATAGAGGTATGCACAGGGCAGCTGCATCTGCTTGGCAGTGAGGAGTGGGCAGTAGGTGCTGGATAAAGAAAACAGCACGGAGGAACAGTGGTATAGAAGAAAAAGCGCCCAGTGCTGGGTAGTCAGTTACTGATGCAGCAATTCAGGAAGGCCAGGCATTAGAGAACACAAGCTAATATTTTAGTCAATTGACTTCATAACAAAGCCCATCAGCATAGGTTTCATGGTCTCTGGAACCCAAGTAAACGCCAGGCCTTCTGGAGCAGCTTTGAGAGTGTAGATCTGGACAAAGGTAGACCTAGCAGAGGTCTCAAACTGGTGGTCCTCAGGGCAGACTTCACCTCCAGACCAGACTTCTTTGGCCGGTGCAGTGTTTTAAAAAGAATTTAATTAGAGCTGTTCATTTATGGGGGCAAGCACACTCCACTCCTGTCCTCACCACTTCCAACTGTCATATATCCAGCTGGCTCCTCATATTTATGTTTCCCGCTTGATCCCTGAAGGTGGCTGATGTTGTAACTCTTGGCATAGAGCTGTGTGTGATCTTCGAATTGGGTAATGTGTACCTCCAGGGTATGCACAGTCTTCTAGGGATGTGCTGGTTCATATATTTTTAAAGGAATCAATTTCTAGATTCAAGATTTTCAACATCTACGTGTACTTTTTTATAAATAGTCCTGCCTGAGAACAAGCTTATGGTCGGCTAGTTCTCCCTTCCCATCTTCTTTTCATAATTGCACTTCTCCCACTTGACAAAAGAAAACAACTCTCACTATCGATCAACGATCTTACTATGATGCACAAGATGAGGTGAAAAACCACCCAAGGCAGCAAAGGCACATTTGAGAATGTAGAGCTCCTGAGAGAGTCTTGAGAAACTAAAGAGGAGAGCATCTTATTTCATCCAGGCACAAGACATGAACAAGGCTCCATGCCTTATCTATCTGTCTGTCTATCTATCCATCCATCCATCCATCTCCTTTCTCTTCCCTTCCCTTTTCTTCCTTTTCCCTTCCCTTCCCTTCCTGCTATCTTCTGTCTGTCCATCCATCCATCGATCTTAGAACTAAAATTCAAAAGTGAGATGGTCATCATAGGGATGATAATAGAATGTTTATTTAAATTGAAAAAATAAAGTCAGACTTTTTCTGACCAAAAGTAAGTCTGGCTGACTGGGCTGATTTATTTATGAGGACTGTTTTTGTACATTATATTTGTATATAATTTATTTTATCTATAATATATTTATGTATAATAATTAATACGTCTGAAAAAATATCCTTTGTAATTGTTGAAACTTGTGATAAAATTTTTAATGTCACCTTAAAAATGTATGAGGGGGAAAATGGATGAGAGAGGTACATAGTTTTTCAAAATTCTTTGAAGGGATACTTGAGCAAAAAAAGTTTGAAGACCATAGGTCTGGAGGATCCATGATAACTTTGAGCTGCTCTAGTTAGGGCAAATCAGATCATAGGGATCTGCGAGGCTGGACTGGTTTAGGGTCCTTTCTGTAAATATCTGCTTTTCTGCTCAGAAGGGTAAGTCTAAAGATGATGGAGCCTCTGGCCTCACCTTCCTTCTCCACTCTGAGAACAAGTGAAACAATGTGGGCTTTTGGTGGATCACTGGGGTTACTAGGTGATATAACCTTAGCCCCTAAAACTCAGCCCGGACTTTGGGCCACCTGGAATCCCGTTGTGGGTGAGCTGGACAATCTGGGAACTCCCTATATTTATTAGAACAGCAGATGACAGGATGCTCCAAGGGGCCCCTCAGAGAAGCAGTAATGTTCTAGAATGGCAAGAAACACTGGAAATAGAGCCTGAGAAGTGGGATAATATTATGTTTACAGAGTGTCTGCAATTCTGACAGGGGTCTCATGATTCATCTTGGGAGAGATATTGTGAGATTTTAGCGCCAGAAGGGTCCTTTGAGGCTAGTTACCTTAACATTCCCATTTTATAGATGGAGAAATGGAGGCCCAGAAAGACTGACTGGCCCATGGTCACATGGAGGGTTTGTGACAGAGCTGGCAGCTAGAACTTGGTATCTTGGCTCCCCACCTAATGCTCTTTCTCCAACATCATGCTATATATCATTCAGCTTTAAACTCAGGCCCTACCTGTGAGTTCTACAAATTAGAGTTTTTAGACTACTACCAAATTGACTACTCAACTAGGTCAAACTGGACACTTGACTCAATTTGACTTAACATTTTTATTAATGACTTAGGGCAAAGGTTCCAAATATGCTGGGCTCATAGAAGCCTTCTGCTGACTTCTCTTTTCTCTGGGAATCACTAAAGCAGGACTGGTGTAGAGCTTGGAGGCTAGGAGGTGATAGCACAGAGAGAGATTAAAAGCTATAGGATGCAATCTAGTTTTAGCTCTAGATTGTCCCCACTGCTGGAGCTGCACCATTCTACCCCTGCAGGGTACTGAGGTTCATGCAGCAACTCTTGGTTGCTGTAAGTTTCAAAACTGGTGTCTTAGGGCCAACAGCACCCTCTTAAATAGGATAAAGAGTTTTGGCAGCTGTCATTCTGTGGGATAAGTAAGCGCAACCTGGCATATGGACTTGTGGTCCTGGACCTAAACTTTATCAGGGATCCTCGGGCTGACGGCCATCCTACACAGGTGGGTTTGTGGTACTTGGCATGCAGATTTTCATGGGTGAGGTGGGTTGGGAGTGCCTCAGAGTCCACATGCTACAGTGATACACTCTGCCAAATTCCATGCTGGGACCACAGGGCTGCTGCTACTGGGGTTCCACCACCAACCTCAGGAATCACAGCCCCATGTCCAAGTGCTCTCCCTACTGGGGGCTCTCCCTACAGGAGGCTCTCCCTACAGGGGGCTCTCCCTACACGGGACTATGGCAACCACTGTGGGATTGACAGCCATGAAGCCCAGGTCTAGAGACAAGAGTCACACATTATCTTGCTCAGAGTAAACTAAATAAGAGAGGTACATTCTACATGGGAAGTCAGTTTTACAAAATAAAATTTTAGGTGAGTGGGATGAGAATATTTATTGGTCCATTAAATGAAAAGCCAAAAATCAAATGTATCATTCAAGGAAACTCAATCTTCAAACACTGGTTTCCCACCAGGTCATCTGAAAGCTTAGAATGACATCAATTTCTTTGTTCTGGGCACACAGCATACCCATAGCCTCTTTAACAAGTGGAGAGTACCTTTTGCTTTAAGATATCCACTGGCGTCTGATGGGCTTTTAGCTTCTTATTTTTAAGAAGCACTTTTCTTCTAAGTTGGTCAGGTGAGGGAAGCATTGGATCATCTGAGAAATCACTCTCAAATAAGAATTTAGCCACCAGTTTTTCTCCAAGCACGGTCTAAAAAGAATAAAGAAAAACACATAATCAATGACTTTTATCTATAATTCAACTAGATACTTCAGCCTAGTTGAATTGTTTAAAAAATCCTAGGAAGAGGAAATAGGAATGAAGTTGTGCCCCCCCCCACGCCCCCCCAACAATAGTCTTACTGGAAGGAAGGGAGGGGGATAGCAGGCCAGGAGGAGAGTCTAGGCCACTTTCCAGGTGGGGCCAGCTCTAACTATTTTGGAAAATGATCTGGGGTCTGATGTACTAAAGAAGAAAACAGAGATGCAGTTAGAGGCTGTGGTTTGTAGAATGTAGTCTGTTTCAGAAGTGGGTAAGAAGTAAAAAAGATGGAAACCTTGAAGTAGGTAGGGAGTGGGGAGAAAGCTGAAAGATAATAGAGAGAATTTGCTACCATTTGGTATAAAGAACTGCAGACACCATTCTCACAAAGATTTTCTGAATACTGGTTTCCAAAATGGAAGGTGTGTCCTTCAAGGAGGTGGGTAGTGGGGGTAGGCAGAGGATGATCCACTGGGGTGAGGGTGGAAAATATGGCAATTTCTATTTCTAGCTATTTTTTAATTAAAAAAGAACAAAAATTGAAGCTTATTAATGTTTAATGTACAGATTGAAAATGGCGCCCTCACTCCATCTGTATGTTGGACCAGTTGATATGTCAGGTGCTGGTTCCTGAAGGTCCCTGAGATACAAGGGGGAGTCTCCTGATGCTGAGGGACCGACAGTGGGTCCCTCACACCTTTGTTTGCTACCAGCTTATTGAGATGATTGCAGTTTGGGTGTCACCACTGTGGTTAATTTCATAAAAAGACTTTTCTTGAAACTATTTTATAATGAGATGAAAAGTGACTATGAAAATCTTTTATACCACATAGAAGTTCACACTTTATATCATGAAAAAGTAGTTAAAGCTGTTATGCATTTTTCTTTAAAAAAAAGTGTCCTAAAATTTCTGACTTTTTCTGTGTTTACAGTGGTGCCAGTATTTTGTTATCAGATAATAATAATAATATAAATAATAAAATCACTTTTAATCTGTTCCTATATGATAAGGGCCATGTTCTTTTTTTTTAATTTTTTTAAATTTTTTTATTATTTTTTTCTTTTTGTGAGGGAGATCAGCCTGAGCTAACATCCATGCTAATCCTCCTCTTTTTGCTGAGGAAGACCGGCCCTGAGCTAACATCTATTGCCAGTCCTTCTCTTTTTTTTTCCGCAAAGCCCCAGCAGATAGTTGTATGTCATAGCTGCACATCCTTCTAGTTGCTGTATGTGGGACACGGCTTCAGCATGGCCAGAAAAGCGGTGCGTCGGTGCGTGCCCGGGATCCGAACCCCGGGCTGCCAGCAGCGGAGCACGCACACTTAACCGCTAAGCCACGGGGCTGGCCCAGGGTAATGTTCTAATAGTGAGTGAGAAAGTAATTGCTTTTTAGATGCAATTTGTGGTCTGGAAAGGATATTTTAAAAGAAGATGTCTAAAAATATTCCCATTGTGATGTGATTTTGTTGTAGGAAACAATGTGTGTTAACATAAAAACTCTCATATATGCACACTTAAGAAACTTGGAAGCAGATTTTCTAATGGTTAAGAAATCTTCCAGGGCCGGCCCCGTGGCTTAGCAGTTAAGTGTGTGCGCTTCGCTACTGGCGGCCTGGGTTCGGATCCTGGGCGCTCACCGACGCACTGCTTGTCTGGCCATGCTGAGGCCGCCTCCCACATACAGCAACTAGAAGGATGTGCAACTATGACGTACAACTATCTACCGGGGCTTTGGGGGGAAAAAAAAAGGAAGAGGATTGGCAATAGATGTTAGCTCAGAGCCAGTCTTCCTCAGCAAAAAGAGGAGGATTAGCATGGATGTTAGCTCAGGGCTGATCTTCCTCACACACACACAAAAAATAATACAAGAAATCTTCCAAATGAAGGGTTATAGTGGAGTTTGAACTCACTTGCTAAAAATATAAAAGGCAACACCTTTTCAATAAGTTCTAAGAAAAATTGATTGACACCAGGAAACATACCAATTGTCTAGCCAAATTTCAACAAAACCCTTTCCATCATTAATGGATTTGAGAAATGAGTACATGATTTGGCAAGTACAGCTGACACCCTTTTTCCATCAGGATACATATATCTTTCTACGGTATCTTCATCAGCTACCGTAGCTATTAAAACCAAACACCAAAATAATAAACTAAACTTAAAACCAGACATCCAAGTCATTGATCACAAAGTTTAAACCAAACATTTCAAAAATAATGAAGCATATTCAATCACATTACTCCCACTAAAAATTTAGGTAATAAATAAATAATAAATTTAATTAATTTTTTTTATGAGAGCAAAAAGGGTTTTTATACCATTAATAAATAACAGTATTAAAAAATTATTCTTTACTTCACCCTCTCTATGTTATTCACTTTTATATTCTATTTTTTGCACGTTTTAATTAATGTATACAATATTTTAAGTAGGATATGTATATAATTTATAAATAAGTCAATAAATGTATAATAAGAATACATGCTATAGCATTTTACTGGTAGGGACATACAATAAAAAAAGTTTAGTAAATGATGGCAAAGGAAAGACAATATGAAAGGCTAATTAGTTTTGTTGGCATTAGTATTTGGGGACACTTCCCCCAGGTGGTGCCCCTCCCTCCCACTGAGAGCCATATTTCCATAAATGCCTCTACCAGTGGAAGGGGAAGTATAATGGAATATTTGCCCCTACATCTGTCTGCATACAGTTCCTTTGTATAGGGAAGGGCCGTGTTAACATAGCAACTATTCCGGCTAGTCTAAGCTCTTTGTCAACTTGGATCCCCATATTTGTAGTGTGGGCACAAGAAGATTTGACTTATTTGCCCTGAGATATGTTCAGCTTTCCCACATACAACTGACAGGCGACATCCTGACACCACTGATTTGTGGTACTAGAAATATTGGAGAGTTGGTCTCTCCTTATCTCCTAAGGTTTTCTGAAAATAGCCAGGAGATCACAGAACAATGCTTCTATCACTCCAGCTGAAAACATGGACCATTTGAGAGAGCCCAAGCTCCTAGGGCACCCCCATTTCTCAAGTCTGAGGGACCCTAATTGTATTTGCTTCATGGCTGAGGTCCAGCTGTGGTGTGGTCCCTGGTGGCTCCACATAAAACTCAACTACAGCTGTAAGACAAAGGCCAAGATACCATCCTACCTCTTAGCTAAAAGCTTACCTTGAAAATTTCTGCCATTTTTCGTTGCTGAGGCAATGAACAGTGGTTCTCAATCGATATGATGATTGGCAGGTCAGAGTTGATGAAGGCACTTCGATCAATGGCTTCAACCACCTCCTATGAGAGCCAAAACAGCTCATTAGAATCCAGGTATCTGTCCAGGGCGCCAGAAGGCAAGGTACTTATAGCCACAGAAAGCATTTAATTTGTTGTTTTCAGAAGACTCTAGCGAAAGCGTTTTTTACCTTTTTCAAATGTATTTTCAAGTTAAGTAAGAGGATAAGGCTATTTTTTACAAAGACATTAAACTGTTCATATTGAGTTTTGTTCACATACTATAAGGAACAGCTATCAGTATGGTGAATTTAACAAATCAATATATATATTGAGTATACTGTAGGTAAAAGACACTGGTTTAGTTACAGCATCAAAAATAATGAGGCATAAGATACTTTCCTGCTTTCAAGGAGTTTATAATCTTCTTGGGGCAATAAGGCATATATATTTAGGGGTATATGTGAACCAGTTATTAACTCCCTCCCTCAATCTAGAGTACAAGAGTTTTAAGAGGGCTGCATAGAAAAATGAGTAAAAGAGAAAATGCATTTTAGCCATCATCTCCACATATAAGACAGAAATAACAGTATTCCTTCCTAGGCTGGCCACAGTTCAGAGAAAAATGATGTTACATAGCCAAAGACCCCCTGAATGAGGATAGTAATTGTACAACGAACTAATAAACTACCTAAAATTTGAAACAAATCCGATGAGACCGGTCTTCCTGAGTGACCAATCTCCCCGGGTGGAACCAATTCTCATTATTTTATAATGTTAATTATTTAATCATCTCCTAACACATGATGTTGGCCTTTGTTAGCAGGTCACCAGGACAAATGACCTTTAATTCCTACAGCAAGAGAACAGCCCCTGCCTTTTATATATCATCTTATGATGTATGGCAACAACATCATTACATGATAACTAATTTAAGGTAATAGTTACTAAACTTTGGTTGAATGAGAATCTAATGAGAGTTCTAGATCAACTTCCAGAAAAACGAATATGTGCATATCCTACACAATCAATACTGCAAACAATTTCGGGAAGTCTTCAGACCCAGGATAAGAACCCTTAACCTAAGGTATAATTTGGTAGGATCACTGATTCAAATGATGAATGAAGATAACGACTTTGTGATTTGAATAAAGAAAGTTATGAAGCATTACCTTGAAGGGGATCTTGGTTGTCAGTGTATGTCCGTGATAAATGATGGGCATCCCATCATCTCCATCCCAGCAGTCCAACTCTATGCTCCTACAGCCTTGCAGGAGGACCTGTGTGATCAATGAATGAATCCAGCCCACGGGAACAAATGGAGATAAAGCCTCAAAATAAACCCAGCACACGCTTCGGCATATCAGTGTTCACATTCAGGGCTAATGCACAAGGTCATAAGATCTAAAATGAATATTGCATTTTGGCTAAAGGCCACAATTAATCAGTGCAGAGAGAACAGATTAAGGTGGAAAGAGTGCTTACCGGAGCTGAATACTATTGGAAGGAAAAATTGGATAGCAAAAATATTTGACCATTTCCCCAGAAACTTTGGTCTCTCAAGGGACCTATACATGGCATATCCTGAAATGAGAGAGCCAGGCTAGTGCTCTATCTGGGCAGATGTCAGTGGAAGTAAAGGTGCTGAATCTGCAGCCCAGAGGAAATGAGGCCACTGATTCCTAAATGAACTGGCCAAACATTATATGAAGGCACTCAGCATAAAATCCCCTCCATTTAGACGCAAATTCTGACACCAGCTAATCCTTTTGCTATGAACATGTAGCATTTAAGAAGAGTACCAACAAAGAATTATCAAGGATTTGCTTTGCTGTCTAATCCCAGAACAGTGTCTAGAGCAGAGATGGCAAATAATCCATAAACACCCCTCTCTCATACGCACAGCAGATGTCAGTAATCAATCACAGCACACTTGCCCCCTAAGCTTTGATATGTAATCTCATGAACTCTTCAGCAAAGTGCTCCAGGAAACACTACCAAGGAATCAGATGAGATGATACTTATTTGCTATCCTAGATCTAGAGTTGGAAGCAGAGCTCCTGACACATGTGCTTGGGTTGCAGCTCTGTAACGTTTGCTTGGAGCAACCTCTTCCTCCAGAGAATCTATCTGTAGACTATGCTAAAGGATTACCACATATTGAAAGGGTAACCCAAGCCAAGAGGCAGATATATCTGTGAATAGGCTGACCCACTGATTTAAGAATCCACATAATTATTCCCATGTGACAGTAATCTAATACTAGGGGCTAGTGGCCACTAGAGTTGCTGCAACGAAACTCGGATAGTGGAATCCCTCTTATTTTAATTTTTTAAAAAATTTTAATTATTTTTTTTCCCCCAAAGCCCCAGCAGATAGTTGTATGGTCATAGCTGCACATCCTTCTAGTTGCTGTATGTGGGACGCGGCCTCAGCATGGCTGGAAAAGCGGTGCGTCAGTGCGCGCCCGGGATCGAACCTGGGCCGCCAGCAGCGGAGCGCATGCACTTAACCACTAAGCCACGGGGCCGGCCAAGTATTTTTGATGAGATACTTGCTAGATTCTTCCCATAGCACAGTATGCAGCATCCATTCTTCCTGGGCAACCAATCTTTCCAGGTGGACTGATTCTGTTGTCTAGAATCCCAAGGCTATCTTTCAGCTTCTTTCACCAGCTAGAGTATCTACAGGTATATTGCTTGGGGCTGGAGATTGTTGTGTAATATGACAGCTGCAACATGGGGCTGCTTCATCTCTATAGTGAGCCTGCCATACCGGGAAGAACATTCACCAATTGGCAGCAGATTAGATGGTTTTCCAGCATGAAAAGACCAAAGTCTTTATCAAAGTCTGCGTAACATTAAGAACTCCATATATGGAGAGAAAAGGAAAACCAAGGTTGAAAATTCTGGGTGAGGGCCGGCTCCGTGGCTTAGCGGTTAAGTGCGCGTGCTCTGATGCTGGCGGCCGGGGTTCGGATCCCGGGCACGCCCCAAGGCACCGCACGCCCCAAGGCACCACTTCTCCGTCCAACCCGAGGCCGAGTCCCACGTACAGCAACTAGAAGGATGTGAACCTATGACATACAACTATCTACTGGGGCTTTGGGG